TAATAAAATAAAGGATTATGCAATTAAATTGCCAAAATTATGATAAGCCTATTAAATATAATTAAATCAATACTAGAAATATGCACAATTAGGCTCACATCAATAAGTCTCTCAAACGCTCTCCTTGGCTTTAGTTGTGTAATATTTCTAGATTTAGATGCCAACGACATTTTGCCACGCGAGGGTCTCAACCCGGGCGCTATCACTAAAAACCTCCTCCCCTCCTCTTTTAGGGGTTACAGCATTTTGAGCTCCAACAGCCAGAACTTCTTGGTCCTGGATTATGACGACGACGTAGAGGTTGAGACTGACCGCACAGTCACAAAGGACTCGACGACCTAAGGAACAGATGTCACCTCGGTGGAAAGCGTCCGGGCAGCGCAGAATGTTAAAGGTTGTCTTTATATTCATCATCTTAAGCGCATATGACAACTCTATCTCCTCAACACAAGTAGGGGATAAAGGTTGCCTAGTAGTGCTTAATAAATCATAAAATTTTTTGCACTTGTATATGGATCTTTTTCTTGGTTATTTTGCTCATTAAATGGAATAAATGATGAACCATCTACATCAAACACCATTGTTTCATACTGATTGTTTTCGTTACGTGTCTCTGGAAATTGTTCATTTACTGTGGGAATAGGCAATACCATTACACGTCCATACCCAGTAATAACGTTCAAATCCTTTCTTATACAAGTGAACACGAACTTCATCAGCAGAAAAGTGTACTCTATTCTTGCACTTACTACATGGACACCTAACTATATTTGTCGACTCGTATACTGGAAGTGTGCATGCATAATTAACAAATTTCTCAACACCAACTAAAAACTCATCAGTGTATCCTCTCTTTCAAGGCAACATTCGGTTATACATCTATTTTCAATGTTCTGGTATACTATCCATATATGCCTAGTATAAAAATACAAATATCTCAAAATCACAAAAATTTAACTTTTATATATATATATATATATATATATATATATATATATATATTAAAGGAACAAAATATATTATACTAGTGATAAAGTACAAATAAGCCATTAGACTATTTGGGAAACAACAATTAAGCCATCGAACTCAAATAACCTTCAAATAAGCCATTAAACCTGGGGAAAAAGAGCAATTAACATTTTTAACAGGTTAACTCCCAGTTTTCGTTGACTGGATTGCCAAATATTTATTTTATTTTATTTATCAAAAACAAAAACTGGTGTGGCAATCCACGGCGATGAATCTCGAGGGAGCATTGAAACGTGGAACCACCAAGGCAATCGATCGTCGTATGATGTTTTTGAGTTCCTTAGAGATTTAACGTGCGAAAAGCCCCACTCTGACACCATAATCTTCTGCTGCAGACTCGTACCGTTGAGAGACCATCCTGTTTCTGCAATCCACGGCGAGAAATGCTTCACCGGTGACCGTAGGAAACAGAGCGGCTTCCATCACTGGAGATGTGATTCCTTGTCGGAGTTAGGCAGTACTCCTCGAACGAATAGTAGTAAGAACGAGAGAGAGCACATGAGGAGCATTCGGTCTCTGGATTGGAAAGTTTGGAAGAAATCCGGGGTCTGGATCGTCAGAGGCGGCGATGAAAGGTGACAGTCCGAGTTTGAGGTGAAATATACAGAAGCCGAGGTGGTACATTATGATGTTTGGGTATGTAAAGTTGTCGCGGGAAATAGAGCTAAGATATATAAAGAATCGAAAGGTCCACCAGAACCCGCTTTGCCGGAAGTTTCTGTCGTCGGAGTCCTACAGTAGTGCTTCTCCGATGAGGCATAGTGACCGAAGAACATATTGGGATAGTGTGGCAATATCCGGTCAGCAAAAACTGGAAGTTAACCTATTAAAAATGTTAATTGTTTTTTTTTTCTAGGTTCAATGGCTTATTTGGAGGTTATTTGAGTTCGGTGGCTTAAATGTTGTTTCCCAAATAATTCAGTGGTTTATTTTCATTATATTATATTATCCAAATAATTCAGTGGTTTATTTTTATTATATTATATTATATTATATTATATATATATATATATATATATATATATATATATATATATATATATATATATATGCAACGTCAACGCGCGAGCTGGGCACCTTTTAAGAAACACGGACACAATGGATGTATGGCTGAAAAGAAGTCTGTGCAGTGTTATAATAACACTACCTTAAAAGCGTTATTTGCCCGATGACGGTGCAGTCGACAAACCGGTACGCTTTTGACAGGCTACACAGAATAACCACGCTAAGCTCGCACCAGCTTAAACGTAACTGAACCTCACTATTGCTCAGACTTTAACTAGCAGACATAGAAAGAAGGGAGAAAGGAAATGTTTTCCTGGGTGTGTTTAAACTCAAAGGCAGGCCCTATTTAAATAATAGAGGCCAAGTAATTTAGGCCTCATATTATTTAAAGGATCTTAACCGCTCATTAATTTGTGGTAAAGGTTAAACCACCACATAATTATTTGTGGTCAAGGTTAAACCACCACATAATTAATGAGTGGCTTGCATTTTTCCCAACAATCCCCCACAAATGCAAGGGAATGGAAAAAAGATGTCTGAGCAATACAAATGAGTTGATCTTAATGTCAGTGTTTGTGAACTTGAACTGACACGTAGTGACACTGAGTAATTTTCTTTCCGAGAGTGATATGAATCTTGAACTCAGCGATTAGATAAATTTTGAACTCTAATGCACACACCAACTCAAAAAGCAGGTTCTGCGAAAGTCAAACTCTTTGACTTCTTATGAATACCCTTAGTATTCAAGTCTGTTATGTCTATCTTAATATAAACCTCCACCCTGTCAAAGTCTATCTCAACATAGACTTTTAACTCTGACAAGTCTTATCGCATTGTAGATTTTTATGACTTGTCAAGTCCATCTCAATATAGACTTTTAACTCTACCAAGTCTATCTTAGTATAGACCACCTTTAAAGGCTTATAGAGTAGTTAAAGACATAAACCAGTTCTAAGACTTTTGTTTCTATTATAGGCACTGTTCTTTGCAATGCAAATGATAGTTTGTGAATCACAATGTGGTGAAGGTGTTGGACACCCCCACAACTGCACGGTTATCACCATGTTTCTTAGCCACTCACCTTCTTGGGATAACCCCATTATCTTTCATAAGAGGCGGTTAGCCCTTTTCTACTCAAGCCAGGGATCTCTTTAGGTCTACCTCAACATAGACTACCCCAATTGAGTATAAGTCACCAAGAGCACTATGTACTCATGTCATTATGCGGTGAATTCATCAAATTTGTCTCAACAAAACCACCCTTTCTCAAAGAGTTATGAATTCATTAACAGCCGGTATGGTTCTCAGCCCACCCGACTGCCCGTATAGCTCGATTGATCTTAACCAACTCGGGGTTACACGCACACATAACACATAGCAAGTACATGCAACCCACATTAACACATTGGGAAGGGGGAGAAAATGTATAACAAAACCTATGCGTGATCCATCACATACAAGAATAGTCCTAAGGGGTTCATACTTCTTCCACCTAGGTCAACGGGATACCAATTCAACTAGCATGCAATATAATAGACTCATAAACCTACGAACGGTACCCGAAATATCAAACTAGACATAGGCACGATAAACGGAGTCCGTTGGGACACCACGGGGGACGGGAAAACATCAAACGGGGAAGCCGGGAACCCAAGATGGGGAAAATTCCAGCGGGTAGCCGGTGGGTGGGGGCCACCCGCCGGCTGCCCACCGGATTCACTATTCCGGGCAGCGGGCAGCTGCCCGCCCGCCGACTGCCCGCTGCCGGGATCACCATTCCGGCCGTGGGTAGGTGGCGGGTCCCCTACCCCCCACTGACTCTTATCACACAAATCCGCCCCGGGAACCATTGTGGAACCCGAAACCATGCTTAGACACTTTACAACGCAATCAACGACAACACGTAGACAAGTAATGGATCGGATACGAGAAACGAACGGCACATAATCTATCATGCTTTTCTAAACATAATCAACACCCAAACATGCGATTACCCCACTCGATAACCCAAGAATAATATCATACGATACAACCTAGGGTTCTAATCACTTTTATATCAACAAGAATACGATTCGCCTTCTAATTGCAAGATTCGGTAAGAATAACACATAAGCATCAAGGGCATCACACAATTATCAAGAACAACACATAATCATCAAGAACTCCATATAATCATCAAGAACATCATAATTATCAAGAATCTCCCAATATCAAGATTATCAAGATCCCCCATGGGATCATCACATCAATCATCAATCATAATCATCACAAGTCATTAATACACAATAATATGGGGAAACCCTAAGGGGGAATCATAACTATGAAAATAGGTTTTGTTGAGACATGGGTTACCTCTTAGCCTTAATTAATTCCTTGGCTATGAAGGGTCTTTCTTTAAGCCTTCTTCTTTCTTGATTTCTCCTAAGGGGATTCTTGGAACTTCTTGTGTGGTGAGAGATTATGGTGGTGAAAGATCTAGGTGCCTCCTATATCCCTATTTATATATTTAAGACTCCTAATTAGGGTCTGAATGGTATGGGTTTACTAATTCTATTCCTTATAGAACTAAGGGCTTATTTTAGGGATAAGGGTCCATGGTCCATAGTGGACCATATTAATTAATTAAAGGGAATCCTAATCGTAGTCTGAATAGTAAAAAGCCTACTTCCTTCATTCCTAATAGATAACTAGGTCTAGGATTCCTAATTAGAATCTGAATAGTAAAGGGTTTACTTTCTTTATTCCTAATAGGCTTAGGACTCTAATTTAGGCAAGGGTCCACGGTTCATGGTGGACCTTATTAATTAATTAAAGGAAACCTAACCGAATTAAGTCATATTTAATTATTATTAACGGGATTAATTAAATAATTAATCCGGGATTGAAGGCCGTAACACGGGGTGTTACATTTACACCCAATAGTGCCTCACAGATACAAGGTTTAACCAGAGGAACAACAGAAAGCATATGGTGAAAACATTTCAATTTCAATACTGCATAAAGTAAGGAACTTTACATTGATATGCAATTTTTCTCCTCTTGAAGTGTCTACAATAAGCCTAGTCTTAGTAACAGTATGGAGATACAGTCCTGCAATTCAATTCAACAACGTAACCTCCCAATCAAAAACCAAATATTCCATAAAATTAACCAAAATAACGATCAAAATGCTTCTAGCAGAAATGTTTCACTGATCAGAAATATCGCAATGGGTAAATCAAGCTGGGAGAAGAGCAAAACATACTGAACTCGGAGAAGAAAAGCATGAGCATGGCGATGGAGGAGACGAGGGTGATAACACCGCCGGAGAGGGTACGGTTGTAGAAATCCTCATTGATTTTCGGGTAAGCATCCAAGTTCCTGAGCTTATTGAATACTTTATCAGAAATATTAGAAATCTCTTCCCTTTACCGCCCCGGACGTGGCTCGCCGGCTTCTGCAAAAGGTAGACAACGGCACAGCGAACGACAGCGGAGGAAGCGAGAGTACGGAATTTGGTGCAGATGGCGTCAGAGGATCGGCAGATGGCGTTGAAGATCGGAGATCGGCGTTGGAGACGGCGTCAGACGATCGACGTTGGAGACGACGTCAGACGATCGGCGTTGGAGACGGTGTCAGACGATCAGCGGCGTTGGAGACGGCGTCAGACGATCGGCGTTGGATGAGCAGAGGATGATCGAGCAGACGGCGCGGTATGAGATCTGATGGAGCAGACGGTACGTTGAGAGGATGAGCAGATTGATCAGATCTAATGGAGCTAGCTTAGTGATGGGTAGATCTAGGGTTAATATTAGGCAATCATTTCTATTAGAAATGGTTGCCTATTATAAAACAAGTTCTATTTTAAGGCAACCATTTCTATTAGAAATGGTTGTCTATTATAAATTAATTTTTTTTAAATAAATACAAAATACAATGGGCAACCATTACAACTAATAATGGGGGTGGATTATTAATCACTTATTTACAAAATTACCACCGCGAATTTTTGGGCTAAGATTAGGCAACCATTCTTTCAACAATGGTGGTCTATGGTCAATCTTCAATGTTCAATTTTGTACTAGTGTGATGAAACCTTGGCAGTTCTAACCAAGAATTTCAAGAAAATCTTAAAAGGTTTCAACAGAAAGGGTCAAGGTCAGTCTACCAGGACACAATACAAAGGCAACAACTCCTCATATCAAAAGGCTGATACAGCACCTTTCTCACAGAACAATCAATCTCAGACTGGTCGAACAAGACAAAACAGAAACAGTTCCACAGACACATGTAAATCCCTCAACCGGTCAGTGCAATGTAGGGAATGCGAAGGATATGGACACATACAGGCTGAATGTGCAACGTATCTCAAGAGGAAAAAGGCTATGTCTGTAGCTACTTTAAGCGATGATGAGGAGGAAACTTCAAATGATCAGTCAGGTGATAATGTGGGAAACTTTGTAGCCTTCTTTACTGCTACAAACCTTCAGTCAGACGGAGATCAATCAGATGAAGAATTGTACATATCAACTGATGATTTTGAAGAGAGACACACTCAACTTGAAACAGAATTTGCAAAACTTGTTGCTAGCTGGGAACAACTTGTGAAAGTGAATAAGAATCTGAATGAAGAGCTGAAGCAAAGAGATGATCTTCTAAAGAAACTGAATACAGATCTAGTCATAAAAGAAGACCTCATCACTCAGATAAGGTCCAGAGAAGGAAAACTGATCAAGGAATTGGAGAGTCTGAAGAAAAATATCCAGATGATGGATACCACATCTACCCTAGATAAGATTCTAGACTCTGGCAGAAATCCTAATGATAAAAAGGGTCTGGGATTTGAACGAGGTGAACCTTCGAATAACGCACCTAAGTTCATCAAAGAGGGTATGTCTAAGACCACAGCTGATCACAACTATGAACAAGGCCAGTCATCTCTGTCAGTGCAGAACAAGGGAAGGAGGTACGACCAGACTGCTGATACTGGCCTGGCCAGATTAACTCATCAATCTCATTATTCAAGGTTCAAAAATAAGATTGTCAAAGTTAAATATTACATCCCTATTTGTCACTACTGTCAAACAAAAGGTCATACTCGGCCTGAGTGTTATTTTTTCTACAGAGATCAAAGGAAGGAAAAATATCATAATAAGACCATTACACCATTCACTAAACAGGTTTGGGTCAGAAAGTCAGAAGTTATCTGCTACCCCACCATTGTTCTGACTACATCTACAACTGATGCTAGATGGTATTTTGATAGTGGGTGTTCCAGACATATGACAGGAAATGTTAAGTGTCTGATGGCTGTTCAACCCAGCAGTGGAGCTGTAACATATGGAGATGGACAAAAAGGGAGAATAGTTGGGAAAGGTATCCTAAATGTACCAGGTTTACCTCAATTAGAAGAAGTCCTGCTAGTCAGTGGGTTGAAAGCGAATCTAATTAGCATCAGTCAGTTGTGTGATCAAAATTGGAATGTGTGCTTCGATCGTAACTGCTGCAGAGTTAGTAACAAAGCAAATCAACTTGTCATGGAAGGAACTCAGTACTTAGACAATTGTTATGTTTTGGCAAATGGAACTACTTGTCACCTATCCAAATCTGATGAATCAAAACTCTGGCATAGACGACTGGGTCACGTAAACTTCATAGATATGGATAAGTTGATAAAACTGGAAGCAGTGAAAGGTGTACCTAAGATCAGAATAGATCTGGAAAAAATCTGTGGTGTATGTGCTATTGGGAAACAAATCAGAACTCCACACAAAGCAGTAAGAGGCATCGTCACTGAGAAGTGCCTAGATCTTGTTCACATAGACCTCATGGGACCAACACAGACTGAAAGCATTGGGGGAAAGAAATACATATTTGTGTGTAGATGATTTCTCTCGATACAACTGGGTATACTCTCTGAGAGAAAAGACAGAAGCTTTCAAGTCCTTTAAAACTCTGTGTATAAGAGTTCAGAAGGAAAATAATGAGTCTATAATAAAAGTTCAGAGATTGAGGAGTGATCATAGAAAGGAATTTGAGAACTCACTATATTCAGATTTCTGCTCCGAGCACGGTATATCACATGAGTTCTCTGCCCCTAGAACTGCTCAACAGAATGGAGTAGTGGAAAGAAAGAATCGAACTTTACAAGAAATGGCTAGAGTTATGCTACATGCCTCGCATCTGCCGCAGCGCTTCTGGGCTGAAGCAGTACACACAGCCTGTCATACCATAAATAGGGTCTATCTTAGACCAGGAACAACCAAAACACCATATGAGATCTGGAAGGGTAAGAAGCCAAATCTGAAGTATTTTCATGTGTTTGGGACAAAGTGTTATGTGCTAGTTGATAGAGAACAAAGAGGGAAGTTCGAACCAAAGTGTGATGAGAGCATCTTCCTTGGATACTCTCCAATGTGGTTATAGATGACAGTCCAGAAGAGTCAGTAGACACAACAGTGACAGATTCAGTGACAGAACTCCATCTCAGTGATCCAATTGCCACTAATAGCAACAGTCAGCCCAAACCACAAGAATCGTTAGATGAAGATCGAGAAAGTTCGGATCAAGAGACAAACCTCATAAATGATACAGGTAAAGACAAACCCACCAGAATTCAGAAAAACCATCCATCAGATAACATTATTGGAGATCCATCAGATGGGATGAAGACCAGGAGCAGAATAAGAAATAATCTGACAGAAGTATCTGGGTCTGCTTGATATACCTCAAAGATAGAACCCAGGAATGTTAAAGAAGTCTTGCAGGAGGAACTACATCAGTTTGAGAGGAATCATGTCTGGGATCTAGTTTCAAGACCTGATGGTGTTAACGTAATTGGAACGAAGTGGATCTTTAAAAATAAAACTGATGAAGTAGGGAATATAGCTAGGAACAAAGCTCGGTTAGTGGCTCAAGGGTATACTCAGATTGAAGGAATTGACTATGATGAGACTTTTGCTCCAGTATCTAGACTCGAGTCAATCAGGATTTTGTTGGCTGTCGCATGTATTTTGGGATTCACATTGTTTCAGATGGATGTCAAAGCAGCATTCCTGAATGGCTATCTCCATGAAGATATCTATGTGGCTCAACCTAAAGATTTCGAAGATCTAGATCATCCTTCATATGTCTATAAGCTTCGAAAAGCTCTCTATGGTCTCAAACAAGCCCCACGGGCATGGTATGAACGACTGACACAGTATCTGCTCCAGCATGGGTATAAACGGGGAAGTGTTGACAAAACCCTATTTGTAAAAAATACTGGAAGTCATGTAACCATAGCCCAAATCTATGTTGAAGACATCGTGTTTGGATCAACCTTACAGAAATACACTGACGAGTTAGTAAAAGTGATGAAGGAAGAGTTTGAAATGTCCATGGTTGGTCAACTGACATACTTCCTAGGTCTACAGGTCAAGTAAAGTCCTGTGGGATACTTTATTTCACAAGAGAAGTATGCTAAGAATCTAGTTAAAAAGTTTGATCTGTAATCATGTAAATCATCCAGGACACCAATCTCCACCTCCACAAAAGTATCGAAAGATGAAACTGGTGTATCAGTGGATAACATAGTCTATCGCAGCTTGATAGGCAGTCTGTTGTATCTAACAGCCAGTCGACCAGACATAATGTTCAGTGTTGGAATCTGTGCAAGGTATCAATCTGACCCAAAGGAATCACACCTGATAGCTGCAAAACGCATTCTGAAATATGTTAAAGGAACGATGCAGTATGGCCTCTGGTAGTCCAAGGACAGTGAACTGAGTCTAGTTGCATACTGTGATGCTGATTGGGCAGGAAATATTGATGATCGAAAGAGTACTTCTGGGGGATGTTTCTTTGTTGGAAAGAACTTAGTATCATGGCTAAGCAAGAAACAGAATTCAATTTCACTAAGAACCGCAGAGGCAGAATACATAGCTGCAGGTGGATGCTGTACTCAGTTGGTATGGATGAAACAGATGTTTCTGGATTATAGTCTTTCTCAAGGGATAATGACACTCTATTGTGACAATGTCAGTGTTATGAATATCTCCAAGAATCCAGTTCAACATTCCAAAACAAAGCATATTGACATCAGGCATCATTACATCAGAGACTTGGTTGAATCCAAGGAAATTGAATTGGAATACATTCAAACTGACAAACAACTGGCGGATATTCTGACTAAGCCACTGGACGCTAACCGTTTTGAAATTCTCAGGTCTGCTCTGGGAATTTGTGGAATTGACTAATTAAAGCAGTTGGTCAGTCAGAGAGGAGTGGTGTACACGGGTCAGTATTACGGTTTGACTTCTTTTTGAAGACTCCTCTCTATTTTTGTTAAGTGGTTTTATTTTGGCCTTAATGATATTTTAAAAGATTTTAATCTTTTTTCGAAATTCAAATTTCCTTG